CCCAGTGACTCCTCGTTGCCTCCTAATGCTCCCAGTGACTCCTCGTCGCCACCTAGGGCTCCCAGTGACTCCTCGTTGCCTCCTAATGCTCCCAGTGACTCCTCGTCGCCACCTAGGGCTCCCAGTGACTCCTCGTTGCCTCCTAATGCTCCCAGTGACTCCTCGTCGCCACCTAGGACTCCCAGTGACTCCTCGTCGCCTCCTAGTGCTCCCAGTGACTCCTCGTCGACACCTAGTACTCCTAGTGACTCCTCGTCGCCTCCTGAGTCTCCCTGTGCAGTCCCCGAGCAGCCCCAGCTCTTCATCCCTGAGACTCCGTGTGCTGTTCCCGAGTTCTGCCTTCCCGAGCTGCCAGCTATCATCCATGAACCACAGCACATACTGGTACAGGCTGCCGGTGCTCTGGATCCATTAGCCAGCGCTCTGGGTTCTCCTTCTGGCCCTCTTCCGCCTCATCGTGGGTCCATGTGGCTATCTGACCTTTGGACTCCGCCACCATGGGTCCGCCTCTTGCACCGTTGCCGTCTCCTGGATTCGCCACCATGGGTGCATCTCCTTTGTTGCCTGATGGACAATTCACGGCAGACCCTGCCCTGACCGTTTTTGTTTATTTATGGCCTGAGTTTACAATTTTTGTTTTACCTTGAAGTTTGGCCCCCCATCCTGCACCCCTCCGCCCACCCTGGTTGGGTTCTTTTGTGTTTTTGGACTTTTTGGGCCCTTGAAGGTGGGAGTATTGTGAGGATTTGAGTTTTCTGTGTGTTTATTTTGGTTTCTGTGTCAGTTGAGTCTCCATGTTGTCCCGTCTACCCCTTGATTGATCCCAGCTGTGTCTTGTTTCCTTGATTACTTCCGTTTATTTAATCCCACCTGTGTCTCTTGTTCATTGTCGGGTTCTTGTCTATTCTGTTTGTTGATTCTAAGTCGATGCCAGTTCCTACCATTGTGAGAATCGTTGCATTTTGCTCACCTGTGCTGCCTGGATTTTCGTGTTTTGTCTTCATTAAACATAATTTCTCTCACTCCAACCTGGTTCCACCTCGTCAAGCTCACCATTCCATAACTACAAACTGTGATGCATTTTTAACAATGGTGGAAACTTACTTTGAAATTAATGACCAATACAGATTTAAACAGCAGTTTTGACAGTTAAAGAAGAAGCTGAATATTTGATTAGTTTCTTTGTAAACAAATTACACTGAACTGAAACAACGCCCAGGCTCATGTTGGATGATAGTTTTGACAAATGTAATATATTACCATGCTTGGAATGAGCACAGGTTATTTAATATATTTATTTAGTCATGTGTGTGTGCATAATGATGACATGCATGGAGCTCGTTCCTGTTTGGCAGCCTGGCAGAAACACTATATAAGATTTGGTCTTGGATCTGTTCATCACTTCCAGAAAGGAAAGCTGAGGCTCCAGTCTGAAGCTCAACTAAAGGAAAGAAGGTAATTCCCATCCGGGCGTTGGTAGAATCAGCTGTTACATTATTATTAGACTAAGAATGGCTGGTTTACTGTAAGTTATTGTCTTTGACTGACTGTATGTCTTTGTTTCTAGGTGACGATTGTCTCCACCATGAAGCTGCTGACTGTGTCCATCCTTCTCTTTGCCCTGCTGGCTCTGAGCTGTGCTGCTGGTACGTCTCTGTGGACTATACAGAAGTAAAATGTTCAATCTACAAAGTAGCATTATTAGCATTAGCATTTGATGTCTTGATGAAAGTCAGTCTTATAGTTGCATGTTTTTAAGCCACACATTAAGTTTCTTGAACTAATAATATTTATGTCAGTCACTTTATGCCATAAAAGTTTATATGTTGTGTTTATTTTATTTTTTGAGCTCATTTCTGTTTTAAAATATCTCAATATACAATATTTGGCTCTTTTTCATTGTTGGCCAGTGGTTTAATGACCACTGTTGGCATGGCAACGGCAGCGTTTGGGTGTTTGTGCAGTCAGGTCTGATTAATCAAACTAGCCTCCATAAACCTAATGCAGTCCTGAAGATCAGACTTAAACAGGCCTCGTTTAAAAATCCCTCAGCACAAATGTCTGCTGTCATCAGATAGAAGAGCCGAGTGAATGAAGAGTAAAAACACTAACTCTGTTTAACCTCCACAGATTCCCAGGAGGAAACTGCCACCCAAGGTGAGCTTCATCCTAAATTATTAAGAAAAATGGAAATTTTTCTGTGACACATGGTTTAAAATTATTTGCAGAAATTCAGGCTATTTAAATGTTTGTTTTCATGAATAATAGCAAACATTTTCAGAGCTTCAGTGCAGGCTGCAATACTAGTTGACCTGCTTCACATGCTAGCAGCCGGTGTTTACACAGCACAACACATTTTGTTAACCAAGAATTCATTTATGACTGAAATCTTCTGACTTTCTTTTAACTACATGAATCTTCTCCAGAACCTCAGGCTGAGGAGGCTGCTACAGAAGGTGAGCTGGATTTGATTTATTGTTGAACAGGAAGTAGGAAACATGATAGAGTTTGTCCCAAAACATATATTTAATGATGAGTTAATGTTTGCTGTGGAAGAGGAATCTGAGGGGGCCGAAGCAGCTCCAGAGGGTTTGTTGAAATAAAATCAACTTCAATTATTGTTACAGCATCTTTTCAAACTAATCAAGCTAAAAATATTAACTACCTAAAATTGTGTAATTGTTTTAGAAGAAGCAAAAGAAGAAGAACAAGTAGAAGGAGAAGAACAAGTAGAAGAAGAACCTGAAAGTGATGCTGACACATCAGGTAGGTCTTTATTTTCCTCAGTCAATTTTTATTGTAAAAGAAACAAACATGAAGGTTTTCTTGTAAAGTGGGTTTAAGGTTCTAATGGATGACTAACAGATTCCTGCCTGTGTTTCCTTCAGAACCAAGTCATGTGGTCAAGAGAACGACGTCTTGCCCCAGCGGTTGGACTTTATATCGATCTCGCTGTTTCCGCTACTTTTCATCTGCTTACACCTGGGCTCAGGCTGAGGTAACAAGATGTTTTACTGAGCAAACTATCTTTGACTTTTGTTTTGTTTATATAAAGTATTCATATTTTTCTCCTTCTCATTTTTCCCTCTGTAGAACTACTGTAGAGCACAAGGTGGAAACCTGGCAACCGCACCAACCAACAGTGAATATGATTGGCTGAGAAGCTTCATCTACAGCCAGGCTAACACATACAGATTGTCTTGGATTGGAGGCTCTGATTCTCAGGAGGTATGTCTAAGAAATCACTGCAATTATTGTTCTGCAGAATTTGTGAGACTTTGGAAAAGTTCTTTTTAATTTTTTGCCCATTTTAGAAAAATTACCAGAAATTCATTAGTTAATAAATTAATTTAAAAAGTTGCTAGTTGAAGGAAATGTTTTCAACCCAACAGATTATTTATGGATTTAAAACATTCACCCTTTACTTCTTCTTGCTCGTTGTGCTTCGTCCTTGTAGGACCGCATCTGGTTCTGGAGTGACGGCTCACGATTCCAATTCAACGACTGGTGCAATTCAGGGCCTCCAAGCAGCGGCACATACAACTGCCTGGCAGTGAATTATCCTATCTCCAGTAAGCTATTCCTGAAATCACTATTAGTAACTTAAACCACACACAGAGGATTGCCTTTATTGTGAAAATCATTGTTTGTGCTTGCAGGTTGCTATTGTGGGATTGCCCGCCCATGCAACTACCGTTACCCGTTCGTCTGTGCTAAGAATTAAACTCAGAACTGAAGGAACATCCGACGAAGACGATGAACGTCTAACTTCTCTCTCTGCTGTAACGCTATGAAATGAGTGACGCGACAAGATTCAGGAGGTGGATTTTCTCCTTGGTCATGTACCAAAGAGGAAACTGAATGTGGTGTGGAAAGAATGCTTTTACCTCAGCTTGACTTTCATCTTTTCTCTATTGCAAAATAAAGTTTCTGACAGAAACAAGTTGGTTTTGTGTATTTTTTTATACCTTAAGTGAGTTTGGAACACAACAAAATGTGTAACACAATGAAGGAAATAGCAGCATGTTAAGAAAACAAAACACACAGTTGCAGTGAGTTATGGTCTGGTTCCTAAGATGCCCCTCAGCCTGAATTGGTCACAAATAGTGTGGAGCGCTCTCTGCTGAGCTTCACTGGTAACTACATCTTTAAGTCACTTTAAGTCACTCAAAATGCAACGCAATTCAATCTGCATCAGAGTCCAGAACAGCATAACAACCAAGCAACAACATAATTAACCAAAAACAGTTATCCTCAAATTTTATTAATTATTTGGCTTCAAAGGAAAGAAGAAAACATTTTATGTTAAAAATGTAATATTACCTAATACATGACACATCAGGCTTATGTGGATTTGGATTTACTGTTGTATTAGAAATCAATTAGAAATCAATAAGGGGCATCTTCTCTGATTAAACAGTTCAGATGTATATTAAGCCTTTTGTTGGTGTCTTTTTAAAATTAATTAAAATAATGAACCCCTCTCTTGCAGTATCACAATGCGACCAATAGGAGTCAGTGTGGAGCGCTTTAACCTGAAACTTGTTTAAGATACTGAGCCAAATGCAGTAAATGAATCTGCTCACAACTCATTTATTAAAGACCAGAAGAAAACATGAAACATTCAAAAGATGCATGATGATGCCAGGCTTGTAAGCAGCCTCCACATTTTTGTTTCTTTTTAAATAAATGAGCTTTTTTTTGTTTAGCTTTACAGAAAAATTACAAATGTGTGAAACACCTTTTTCCTAAAATTAGTAGAAATTTGTTGTCATTTTGTGCAGTTTAGCTCTTGGCTGAGTTAGTTAAGGATTAAACCCTCTATTGTGGGTATTTAAAGGTACAGCACTGAAAAGAGAACTTACCCTGAAATCTTAAAGTTTATCACATAGACATTTTTATTCACAGATGCTTAAAGGTGCCACCTTCATCTGTTCAATTATTTACAAGCTCAGACATGAAGCAACTTTCCAAACACTGTAGGGGGAAGGAGGAAAAGTGGACAAAGGGCCCGGTGTCATTACTGGAGCCAAAGTGCTGATCATATCCATCAAATATCATTCAAATAAAAGTTAAAGTGGCTCCATAAAAGTATCACCTAATGCACATACTTAAAATACTTAGGTATTGCAGTACTTACAAATTTGGATTTTTTTTTACAATGCATCTCACACTTTAGTGAGATTATAGTCTAATCTAATTATGGACATTGGAGATAATGACATCGTCAAAGAAAAATGAGAGATTCTGAAAAATGATTTTAATCATCTTCTAACCTGAAATCCCCAAAATGGAGGTGAATATGAGGGAACCACTACTGACCGCTGGACATGAGATGAGAGATACAGCAGATTGATTATTGATTAATGAATGGCTCAGTGAACTTTATGGACACATAGGATCTTCTGGGAAATGCTACCTCCTCTGCAGACATGATGGATTCGGCCTTAATCAATCTGGAACTAATCCTAATCCCTAATCTGAACCCATTATGTGGCAGAACAAGTGGCTCCACATTACAGCCACATATTAAAAAAAAAAGAGAGAGAATACCTTTTTGGAAGTACTTTAATTAAATTTAGTTAAACAAACATACCAGTTTAGATTGCAGAAATATGCCAGAGGTTCTGGTAGTTTTAGCTCAGCAGAGAAGGCCTTCATGTAAAACCACGAGTCACAATGACTGAAGATGTGGGTTTGTTAGCATGAAACCGAACATGACTCAAGGAAAACGAGATGAGATACGGTACGGTTCTGATACTTTAAAGAAGATACGGACAACAACTGCTAAAATGTGTTTTTTGCAAGACACACAGACACGAGGTCAACAGTGTTGTGGCGTTTGGTGTCCAAGTCCATCGCTGGGCAAAAGCATTTCACTAAACAACCACAGGACAAACAGCAGACGAGTCGACTGCACGTGTATTAACTACTGCATGATACCAAAGCTATTGTGCAATGTATGTGCAACATTTCTGTCTTGTTCATTATTTCCTCCTGTGAGCCAAATAATAATAATTCTGTTTAAAGAACTGTATGCAAACTGACAGTGACAAAAAGTGAGAAAAACTCTATTGGTCAATTTTACAAAAAGAACTAATAATACTAAATGCTTCTGTTGAATACGAGCTTTTCATGATGGGAACTCAGCCACATTATAATGTAAAATATAAAATGATGAGGTTGTGAACACAATTTTATGGAAACCATAATTATAATGATATTATTATTGCTAATAGATATACGATTTAAAAAAAAGAAAAGAATGGAGATAATCTTAATTGTGTCACTAGTTGGAAATCCAGGAGCAGAAGGAAGATAAGTGGGAGCATACATGTTGACATAAAAATAAAAACAATTAAAATGATGGAAACGGTGCAGCAGAAATTTTATTACATTAAGAGCTAATAACACAATACAGACAAAAAATGTGCAGCTAATGTAAAGTAAGAAACATGCATAAAGTGTGGAGAACAAAAAAGTCTTTGTTTTGTAACATGAGAAAATATGAATAAGTTTTACAAGTTTCAGTAGAAAACGGCAGCAGATAATATGACAGGGAGCATGCAGGTCTTTGATGATGCCAAGAAAGTCCCAACTGCTTTGTTTGCCCCTTCAGATGAAACTACAAATATATTAAATTATGTTAGAGGAACAAAACACAAGTGACATTTCAGTTCAAGATTAGAGGAGCAAAGCAGCAGGCTTTTTTTTCCTACCAACTATCAACATGTGTTTTGTTGTAAGATCAGTAGACATCGGGACGACAGTGCAGTGACCTTTTGATCAAGTCCATGCCAGGAAAAAGCATTTCACAAAACAAAAAGAGGATCTCACAAAAGAGAAGTACATTTCACACCCACTAGCTTACTGGGTAACTTTTTTGCTTATTGCATAAGGCGCATTTTATCAAATCTATTGCACAATGCATGCAGGACATTTCTGTATTGTTCATTACCTCCTCCTTTGGGTCAAATAAAACATTTCCATTTAAGGATGTGCACTCAAGTCAAGAGAGAGAGAAAGAGAGAGAGAGAGACAGAGAGAGAGAGAGAGAGAGAGAGAAAGAGAGAGGCATCAAGGAGTGAGGGAGAGCAAATAGAGAAATAAGAAAGGATTATGTGAATAGTAACTAAAGAGCCCAGAAAAAATGCCAAAGAAATTAAAGTTTAAATTCAGGATTAAGGTTCATCAGTGTCCAATTGCACCATCTGTTGCTGTTTGACTTCATGGGAGATAATCAAGTAAGAATGCAAAACAAAGGAGTGACTCTTTGGTCAGATGAAACTAAACTTTATGACCACAGACTCAAAATGAAGCAGACCAAGAAAAAACTCTGTCCAGCTGAGAAACATGGAGGAGTGTTGGCTTTGGTCTGGGCTGCTTTGCTGCATCTTTAATCTGTTCAGGATTCAAATTTAATCTCAATAAAAGGCATTTTATAGTCTGACACCAGTTCTGGAGTCAGAAAGTCACAGTCGCAGGCCTTCCAGCAGGATAATGACCTAAAACATGCAGCTGAAAACACTAAAAGCAAAACAACGGACCGTTCTGTAAATGCTACTGAACATCTGAGGACGAACTGAAACACGTCGCCTGGAGAAGACAAACTTCAAACCTCAGATCCGTTTGGCCTGAATACCTGTGGAGTCACAGAAATCATTTGATTTGTATGAAGTTACAGGAACCATCGTTTGCTTCATTTAGTTTTAAATGATTCAACTGAACTGCATTTCAAAAGCGATGCCTGATTGTCATTGGTTCATTTTTAGTACATTTTTATCTACCATGACTGTTATTGGGTTATTTCCATGACCATTGTGGGATTTTGAGACTCTTTTTGTTTCATTAATTGAGGTTACCAAAACTGTGTATATGTGCATGAATAACAATAACAGACGTTTTCAAGTTAAAAAAACAAGACTGTTTGTTTCTGATGAATCTCAGTAACTTAGAACTAATTTAAGTTATAAATTTGCTTTCTGAGGAAGAAACAAATGTTCCATAAATGACTGTCGAGTTGCACGCAGCATGATTAGCTCAGAAAACTCGGGCTGCATGTGGCCGCCCCTTTAATGTTTCTGTTTCCTCCTTTAAGATGTGATGTTAAGATAAATGTGCCTATAAAAGCTGATATCCCGTTCCTCCATCTGACCTGAAACTTTCTGATTCAGAGCTGAAAGTAAGAAGCTGATTCTTCTATTTTGTTCCAAGTCCTTTTTACTTAACTTTCTCCTGTTATTCTGCTCCACAGAAGGTGATAATCACCCAACAGGAACCTGCAGCCATGAGGATGCTGACTCTGCCTTTGCTTCTCTGTGGTTTGATGCTTCTGAGCAGCATAAACGGTCAGTAAGTGTGAGAAGAAAGAATCCTTTGAGTTGTGCAATTAAAATGACTTAACCTGCTACCTAAAAGAAATTAAATGTCCTTTTTTAACATTAAAAATATATCATTTATAGATAGAGATGGAAGTTCTGTTTCTAGATTGTTGGTGCACTTTCTACTTATGATTTAGTTACACCAGCTGAACCTGAGCTGACCAAAAAAGGCTTTTTATATCTCAAAAATGTACAGTTACAACCTTTACATGATAGTAGTGAAGATTAGTTTGATATTTTTCAGTGCAACATTCACTATTAGGTGAAATGGTATAATAGATAATGTTTGTTATATTTTTTTCCCCACAAAGAGATCAATGGATTGAGAACTAATTGCCCGTCTGGCTGGACTCTAATCCAGGGACGCTGTTTCAAATATATTCCAAGACGTCTGACTTGGGGTAAAGCTGAGGTATAACTGGACAATGATTCGTGTTTAGGAACATGAAGCTGCCTTTACATGTTGCGTCTTCCTAAATAAAAGTAAATGCTTCATCAACATTGTTTTTCCAATAAACTGTTCTTTCATTTCCAATTGATTGGCAGAGAAATTGCATTTCCATGGGAGGAAACCTTGCATCTGTGCACAGTTCTGAAGAATACCATGAAATTCAGTCGCTCATTATGCGTGCCACTTATGCGATGAAGGTTACATGGATCGGCGGCTCTGATGCAACTGAGGTTAGCACTACCCGATATTACTCTATTCATCAGAACCTGCTCAACACAGACTCTGAGAGTCGTTCTCCTGATGCGTCTTGTTCCAGGAAGGTACTTGGTCTTGGAGTGACGGGAGCCTGATGACTTTTACAAACTGGTGTCCCGGAGAACCCAACAATGGTGGCTGGAATCAGGACTGCATGCAAATGAATTACTCAGGTAAAACTTTTAATTAATGATTGAGGCACATCTTATACATATCTGATCACATGCAAAAATATAAAATAAAGATTTATTGGTAACACTTTATTTGAAGGGCGGTGAATAAGACTGACATAACACTGTCATAAACATGTCATAACACCTGTCATGAACATGAATAAGCCTTCATGAATATTTATGACTGCTGTCATAAAACGTCATTCGGTAAATTATGACACTTTTAATACAAAGTTGACATTATTCAAAATGCCGTTGTATGACAACTTGACATTAACCAAGAAATCATTACTGTTTAAACTTTACCTTTTATAACATAAAGTTACGTAATTTTTAAAGTGCAATCAGTAATACTTTTATAACAAATTTATATCAGTAATGATTTCTTGGTTAATGTCAAGTTGTCATAACAAAGACATTTTGAATAATGTCAACTTTGTATTAAAAGTGTCATAATTTACTAAATGACACTTTATGACAACAGTCATAAATATTCATGAAGGCTTTTTCATGTTCATGACAGGTGTTTATGTCAGTCTTATTCACCCCCCTTCAAATAAAGTGTTACTGATTTATTTTATCTTTAGTGGTTTTCCTGAATAATTCCAATCTGAATACAGCTGTGACCTTAGAAAAGCTTCAGGCCTTTTTGGTATAAAACTGTTTTCTGTCTTTCTCACTTGCAGGAGAAAAGTGCTGGGACGATTACAGATGTTCATTTTCCCTGCCCTCTGTCTGCGTTTTGAAAAACAGTAAGCGGAACTGAGCTGAAGACATGAAGAAGCTTCTTCGTTTTGCATCTTTTTATTTTCTATCTAAGCTGCTTGAAAGATGATGCGGGGCAGCACATCGACAGAGGATCTCTGTCTTGCTTCTCATTCGATCAGGCCAAATGTACTGTAAGCTAACAGCTTTATGTACATTTTTGCTGATTAAACTTCCCTTCTTGTTCTTTGCAAAATTAAACGGCAGACATTAAAATACGCTGGTCTGGATGTGTGTTTGTTCGTGTGTAAAATGTTTTATTTTGAGCAGTCTGGGTCCTCAGCTGCAGCTTAGCCAAGTTAACTTTATTTGTATTGTACATTTTAGCAATAAGGCAAATAAAAGTGCTTTACATTATGAAACCATAACACAATAAGCAAACACTGTAAAAAGTTTGAGGCACATTTAGTTGTCTCTACTAATTTCTTGTCTAAGTCAAAGAAATCATGCATCATTTATATTTTAAACTTAAAGGTGTGTGTTTTGTGAAAGAAATTTGAAATAATTGTGTTAACTCTTTGATGATTTGGTCATCTATCCAAGATATAAGATAAAATATTTAATGACATGTTTAACAGTCAGAAGGAGGCAGAGAACTGTGGCCAACTTAGAAACCTTTTCGCAATATTTAGCGACTTTTCAGTGCAGCATTTCAGCTTTTTGTGCAGATGTTGACTCTTGAGCCTGTGGAAGCATTTTCATGTTTTGGTTGTATTGTACCAGATGCTGCAAATGGATCTTCCACCATATTTCCCAGGGAGCTTAGCAACATGTTTTTGTATCCTGCATTGCATCATCACTGACATGAACGTTTGTTTACTGGCCTCTGTGCCTTTCTACTGTTCAGTTTGGGTGTCATTTTCCAATCCAAAAACAGTAATAATATTATTTTATATTAATGCTATGCAAGTACTAAAATGCATTGTTAGATACCATGTTGAATCTAGAATTTAATTCTGCTTACTTGAAATGAGTGGTTACTTTAATTTGATAATGTGAGTAAAAACAAGACAGAAATGTGTTTTTGTTCAGCTAGTTGAGGACGTCTTGGATTTATGATGTGAAATAATAATTTGGTTTAAGTTAATTTCTAGTTGACTTTATATCAATTACATACATTTTCAAAGCAGCTAGTAAACTTTCAGTGAAACCACTTTCAAATGTTTTAAAGTTAACAAACGAACAAACAAAAAACACATTGCATGAAAGTTGCAGTCCAAACCAGAACTAATCGATGTTCCAAATAATACACATTCAGAAAATCTCAGGGATATTCTTGCCACAGTTATTCATAATCTAGTGGAGCGAGTCATGTTTCAGATTGCATCTGTTCAAATGTGGAATTTGTTCATTTATTTCACCTTATACAAAAATAAAAATGAGCTTCAGTCATAGTGACTTTTTACAAGTAAGATAATTGAAATCATGCTTGAAGACAAAAAGAAAATAAATAAAATATAATTGCAATAATAAAAAAAAAAGAGATGACAGCAGAAGATACTATTTCTATCTTGTGAAACAAGTCTGGTTTATCAAAGAGTCTGATGTTTATGACATCCATCATGAACAACAGGTTGGATGTTTGACTCATTTCATTCATTCCACGTTTCCTTACAAGAGCAGCCGTACTGTAAAGCTGTAAAATAACATTTAGATTCTTCAGGTTATCCAAGAGGCTGATGAATCCTCAGTGTAAGAGCAGAAAAATCACCAACACACATTCTGCTCTGTTCGTCTTTCACACCATCCCTCTCATGGAGCGCAGGAGTTTATTCTTTTTGCGCAGACAAATGGACGCACTTCATAACACTGCTGGTCATCCCAGCATGTTGAACCTGTTAGTAGCAACAGCAAAGGTCAGGAACATATTACATTAACAACATTTTGAAAATGGTGAAAGTATAAAAAAAACTCAATTTTGTTCAAGCTACTTAGCATTATAGGTGGATTGTGAAAGTAAAAGTCAACTAGACATGTATGTTTTATATTAAAAGAACCAAAATAAAAAGTTAATAGGATATTATTTTGTATTTACCTCTGTCATTCATTTCCAAACAGTGTTGGTCTCCTCTGGATCCACCATTATTTGGCTCTCCAGGACACCAGTGGCTGAAGTGGAAAGGACTCCCATCACTCCACAACCAGGTTCCTACCTACAGTAAAAATGTAATTAACAACCTTTAATTTCATTGGCTGTCTGACAAATAATGTCTAGGAGCAAAAGTTACCTCTTCTGCATCAGAGCCTCCTATCCATATTGCTTTATACTCATTGGTTGCAGCCATTAACAGTCTTTGGATCTCATCGAACTCATCAATATTATGGACGGATGCAAGATTTGCTTGCAAAGACACACAGTTTTTCTACATTGGAGAAAAACAGAGCATGAGAATGACTCCGGAGATTAAAGAAGTACAAGATAATCCTAAATTTAGGAATAAACCACAGATACCTGAGCTGTAGCCCAAGTGACAGGTACAGAAAAGTAGCGTAAGCAGCGTCCGTTAAACTCAGACCATCCAGAAGAACAAGAACCTGAATGATGGATCAGATTGTTCACTACTGTTGAAAACAAATATACTGTCAGGTAAACATGGTCAGATGAAATGGTGTTCAAAGCATTGATTAGGTTCTTAGGTCTCTTTATGTCATAAAGTGAAATGTTTCCACCAGAAAATGTGTTTTCAAATTCCCTAATCTGACGAGATTAGGAGTTAAAACATAAGATGTGCAGATTTCCTTAAACAATAGAGAACATAATGTCAGCTCAAATGGGACAAAAAGTTTCGTCTCTTTGAGAATCTGCAAAACAAAACATTTTTTAACGACGTCTGATGTTATTTTGACACTTCTGAAATATTAAATCAGAATTTAATTGTCTAACCAAAGTAAAAATTCCTGCTCATGCATACAGAGGATTGTTTGCTGCTTTAGCTTTAAAATGTTTTGGCCCAGATTAATTAAACTTCTTGCAATTTTTATTGTAGCAAGATAACCATACAGATATTTTAGGATTCGTTTGTTTGAAAAACAAATAAATATGTTAAATACTTTAACATAGGTAGCTTAAACTCCTCTGTGCATGTTTGGTTTTCAGGAAATTACATTCTCTCTGATAAACTAGAGTATCTCTAATAAACCAGATGACATTAAGACAAGTACTGTGCTTCATCTTTAACATTTGTGTTAAACCAAATGTGTAACTTGTGTGCTCATGACTTTTGTAAGATGTCATTACAAATGTGAAGAAGACAAATTCACCTCTTGAAGTTGCATCCTGTTCTGCTGGTTCAACTGGTGCATCTAGAAAAAAATAGCAAGTAAAAATATCACATTATTTGTCATTTAATTGAAGATCAGACACAAGAGCAAGTTATTGTTAAAAAAAAACAATAGAAGAATGAAGCACTGACCTGTTAAATCAGTCTGTTTTAGAGCTGCTGCTTGGACTGCAGTTTGACACAAATTCAGTTTGTACTTGACTTTTTTCACAAACTTATATTTACAATTTACCACATTTAATTAAGAATTAACTAGAAATGCTGCAGAATTTTATATCATTACTTGCTTTTAACAGTTTTTAACATAGTTAAAAATTAACAGTGTTAAAAGCATAATTTTTAAAACAGTGTGGGTCAACTAAATTTGTTCAGCTACTACTATGATAATATTTAACTCACTCACCAACAGCTTGGCCTAAAACCAACAAGACGCAGTGAAGAAATGATAGAATCAGTGTCTTCATTGTGCAGTTTATGCAAGTGGAAGAAAATCACCTGAAACTAACAAAACTGGAACCTTTATTGACCTGAGAGCGATTTTCAAATCAATAATGCAGGAGAAGCTTTTTCCTTACCTCAGCACACCGAGAGGAGACCAGGACTTATATACTGTTAGTGCCAGGTGTCAAAACAGAAACTGAGGAAGAAAACTAATCAAAACACACAGATACACACACACACACACACACACACACACACACACACACACACACACACCCTTGTAAGTTACTGTCATTTAGCAAAAGTCCAAACCCTGAACTCCTGATAACAGATGTTTGTCTGAGATGACCTAAATATACATAGTGACAACATGCTGAGATAATTAATGCATTGTAAGCATTATTACCTTTATTTATTCATTTACCCTTTATTTACAGTAACAACCTGGTGGCCTACTTAGAAGCACACATATTGTAAAGAATATAGATGTACTGTCCTTTAAAATATATCCAATAACCTCCATTATATTGTTAATTTTGTTGTATATACTTCCTATAAAATGTCTGATTTGCAGGTTCAGGAGTTTATAGTGGTGAGAACGAACGGAAGAGTCCAGGTTATGAAGAAAGTGAATATTTTAATAATGAAAACTCAGGAACAAGGAGACTGGAAACAGAACAAACTTACGCTCGACGAGGTTCTGACAAGGAACACAAGAGGAGGAAGGTCATCACAGGAACTAGAAACAGCTGGGCACAATCAACAGGGGAGACAGGACAACACAGAGACATCAGGAAACAGAACCAAACGCAGAAAAACCTCAGAATAAATGCACAAAGGACTCAAATCACAACACTAGGTACATTGATGACAAATACACAATCTTACAATCTTTATCATGTCACCGATGCTTTTTGTGTGTTTTGATTTTTTAGATAAGATAAGATTAGAGTTTCTGATTGTTAGGAACTGCATTTCCTTAACTGATACCAGTAACTTTACTGGACGCCACAGCCGACTGTGAGGCAGACCTTTGACTTCTGCTTTTAACTTCATAACCATAAATCAGATAAAACACAACAGAAAACCATAGTGACACACTGCGTTGCTCATGTATAAATAAGGTCAGGATGTCGGCCTTTCTATCTTTGTTCATTTGCTTTTATAAATGTTTTCTGCCAAAATCCACAATTTTTCCATTTGCTCAATTATATTGAAACAACTATTTTAAATTATACGGTTATATGGAGTTGATTTTTTTGAAGTTTGTTTGACAGCACAGATGAAAAATGCAGGTTAAATCCATAAAAAGGCTGGACATTAGTTTGTTTATTGATATAAAAAGGTTTGTCAAGAAATACCAAAGGTAAGAAATAGCTTAGAAATATCAACCTGTTAATGACAAAGATCTAATCCAGCCAGCATGAAGCTACAGTGAATGCTCCTCCCATTAACTTTATGGAGTATTTTTATTCAGTTCCTCAAAATGCTTGATCACATTTTTAGATCAAAGCAGATGAAAACACAGCTTTACAAAGAAAATCATAGAATATTACTGGAAATAATAAAGGAAAACTGTTTGCACAGAGCCTAAATGTAAGACACATTTTGGAGTTATACCAGAAGAATCTAAGAAAATAACTTATAAAGATTTAGTGGAAAAAGAAAAAATATCCTTGACTCCAGATTTATACAAGTCAGGGTTATGAAGAGGATTCAATTAAATTAGTTTTATTTCACACAACCTAAATTTGTTTTATGTAGGAGGGAGGAAAAACATTACAAACGAATATAAATAACATTGATGAAATAACAGGTCTTGGATGTGACGTTGTAAAGTTTTATCTGGAAAGCTTTTATCACTGGTTGCTCAGAAGTGAAGTCTGTGCCAATCACGTGCGTCTGAAATGCACGTGTCGAATTCCTGGATCAGGAAACACAAACAGTATAAAAGAGACTCTGTACAGCCAAGGCTTCAGGAGCTAAACCGAGGAAAACATTTCTGCTGAGAGGTTGGAGGAAATCAAATTAATAATAAATTCATCTATCATTGTTCTCAAAGGCTTTCTGAAGGCAACATGTTTTAAATCTTTGCAGGTGATTTTGTTCTTAATCTCCATCTTTTCCAAAATGAAGACTGTGACTGCGCTGCTATTCTTTGGTGCCTTCTTGGCTCTGAATGAAGCTGCTGGTAAGTGTCTCTGTACAGGAGCAACATTATCAATATTTAACCATAACGATTATTGTTCACTCGTTATGTTGCAACATATAAAAATGTAACCAATGTTAAAAACACGCAGCTTTTCCAGATCCCGAAGTTCAACCTGACGATCCTGTTCCAGACGGTGAGTTTTAGTCACCACAGTTATCATTCATGAAGTTATCTACAAATCAGATCAATTACTCATTACATGTGGTAATAAAAGCTTTGCCAAATGACACAGTTGTTCCAGAAGCAGAAGGTGGAAACTGGGCAGAAAAAGCAGGTCAGTGAATCTGACAACCCGACTAAACCAACCAAAACAATTCAAGGTTAATAATCTAACAATTATCCAATACAGACCTCGATCCTGAGGAGGAGGAAACTCATCCAGATGGTGAGTCTGATTCCTGTTGTCTCATGAAAAACCGTTCATATATATGAGAGTCAGGAGCCTCAGGTGATTATTAACACATCATTTTTAAACAGAAGCTCTGTGGATAAAATCATGTATTAAAAGTTTGACTTCTATTCAAATGGTCAAAAAACTTGGTTGCCTGATAATTATCTTTACAAATAAACATCATTACATATGTGAAAGGTTTATATTGTGCTGTTTGGATTATTTATATGTTTTTCAGAAGAAAATATTTAGTTTTTAGCTGCATTGTGGTATTTATATTGCTCTAGCACAACATTAATAAAAATTATACGACTGTAGCAAATCTCTCAAAGAATCTTTAAGGATAAAATTACGTTAAACTCTGATGTGTTTTCTTTGCCAGCTGACCTGATGATGAGTAAAATATCCTGTCCTGTCGGCTGGTCTGGATTCGGGAATCGATGCTTCCGGTATTTTGGATTATTCAGAACTTGGGCTAGAGCTGAAGTGAGCTATTTTATTTTACCAACTCTTTGCAAAATATCTAGTCTCACTTTCTTTTACTAATGAACATTTTATGCTAATGTTCGCCTCTCCCCTGCAGAGACACTGCTTGTCCCTGGGAGCACAGCTGGCATCCGTCCACAGTTTATTAGAACACCATCAGATTCAGAACCTGATTTCAGAATCAGGTGGTGGCGATCAGGAAACGTGGATTGGAGCATCTGACGCAGAAGAGGTATCCTTACACACTGTGTTTGTAGCTTGTCAAAGATCTTTGAGAGAAGTCAACGATTCATAAAACTGTTGTCTGCAGAATTCCTTTTGGTTCTGGAGCGATGGGAGGGTTTTTCAATTTACAAACTGGTGTAGTGGACAGCCGGATAACTTGGGGGCAAAGCAGCACTGCGTGCTTATGAATCATTCAGGTACATGAAAACAATGCACATTTCAAACGTTTCATAAGTTTGAATGAAGAAAATTAAATTTTAGTTTTTTGTTTTCTGTAGAACAGAATAAATTTTGTTAGTTCAAATCACATTTTATGCTAAAAGTTTTAAAAGAAAGTTCTGTTTCTGTTGAGTCACTGATTTCACTTTTTGTTGTTTTACAGCGAACAAGTGCTGGAATGATGAGCAATGTGCCTTTAGCCGACCGTATGTGTGTGTCAAAAAGCTCTGATGGCTCCACGGCTCCCAAAGAAGTCAAACATACAAGCAGCAGAGGAAATATGTTGGATCTTTTCACCCTATCCAGCATCGTGTATATTTTTAAGAATTAAACCTTTAACTAGTCATGTGCAAAAACAATCGATTGTTTAATGAATAATTTCTCTTTGTTTTTCTTTATAAAGCACTGCAACAACATGCCATGTAATATTTTGTAATGTAACTGTGTCTAATAAACACCTTTAAAATGTTACTCTCACTGTTTATGAACAAAAATGAATGAATAATCGAGATGCAAGACTCTGGTAGCTGAAACTAAAAATCCAGTTTCTCTCCCAATTATTAAAACTGCAGTTTGTGACTTTTACTTTTATCCATATTTATTAAAACAGTCACCGTGTTGTGACAGATAATCTGCCCCGTCCTCCCGGTGTTACTATTTCCGTCTGCAAAAATGCACCAAAAACAACCAATCAGAGACAGGAGGCGGGTCTTAGCGCTGTCAATCAACCGCCTTTACACCGATCAATGTGATAACGGTGGAAAAACAACTTCCTACAGAGGAAAACCATTTATCTGCTATCATCAGTGGCTATGCTAACTTAGTAAGTAAGATGCAAAAGGTCAAAGTTGAAAAAGTCAATTATACAATTGAATAATATTAACACATTGTTTCCTAGAGGACTGAGTGAAAGTGGGGTAATAGAAGAAGTAGAAAAAACTAAAACAGAAAAATGAATTCACAGACTGTAATGATCTTGATACAAACATTTACTGTATTATTAAATCTCACCTGTATTTATAACAGATCAGTTTTTACCTGGAACGTTTCCTGACAAAATGAAGAAAGGATTTCAAGATTACAAAAGCAACAATAAGCAAATTTGAACAAACTTAAAGGAACAAAAATCTGATTGAAGACTTCTACAATATTCACGTTGTGGTGTCATTATGTCAAATACACAATGGGACATTACGATGTTTTTAATAACTATTTATTATCTGCCTTAATTTTTCTTGAGCAGCCAAATAAAACATAAACAGGTTTGATATTATGAGTTTTAGCTTAAACAGGTTTTGCTGTTCTAAACTAATTTTATTCAGTAGAAACAAGGACAACAATAACCTGATGCTTTGAACAGGTGAACTACTCACACTGGTGCGCCCCCTAGTGGTTCAGCAAAAATACTATTTATGCTACATTCTGCTGTAGCGCTGAAGATGTGATTTTAAAAGATAACACAAAGGGACAGTTTGATGTATC